AGGCTGGATTATGGTGGCATGAGCTCAGCTCACCACAACCTCCACCTCCCAGATTCAAGCGATTCTCCTGCCTCAGCCTCTTGAGTAACTGGGACTACTGGCGTGCACCACCAAGCTGGGCTACTTTGTATTTTTAGTAGAGACAGGGTTTCACTATGTTGGCCAGGCTGGTCTTGAACTCTTGACCTCAGGTGATCTGCCCACCTTAGCCTCTCAAAGTGCTGGAATTACAGGTGTGAGCCACAGTGCCTGGTCCTGGAGCCAGGGTTCTAAAGCCAGGTGAGCAATCACGGTTTGGGGCAGAGAGAAGGTGTTGGGGTTTGGGGTGCCATGGAGCCAGATAGGAATATGTTGGGGACACCTGGGGCCAGGCCAGGCGAGGCCAGGCCAGTCCTGACCAGGAGACTTTGCCTTCAGCTGTGTTGACATGCAGCACCCACACACAGCACTCAATTCCTTACTCCCCAGAGACGCAGGGAACCCATGCCTTCTGTTGGGAGTTTTGAACCACTTGGGTACTTGGTTTGTTGACAGCCTTCCCTGTTTCCTCTCGCTTTGCAAGACGGAGGGAGTCAGGTCTTTGAAAAACTAACAACTCATCAGTGCCAGGAAGGGTCTAAGGGAGTCTGGCAGCAGAGGGAACAGAAAAAAAAAAAAAAAGGAAAAACTAACAGAGGTCACCTCCTAGGGAGTTACGGCACAGTGGGCTGGAGTTTGGGGTTCAATATGATGGACAGATGTGGGTTCTTATAGGCAAGCGATCTGACCTCTCTGAGCTGTGAGGCATATAGATTCACATGTGTACATATGGGAGTTCAACAAACATCTTCAAACAGCCCTGAGGGTTGCACAGACACGTCCACATCCCTGATCTCATTTTAGGTCTCCCAGCAGCCCAAGGAGTAACAGGGCAGGCAGGCTATAGCTGTGTTCCCATTTCAGCCAGGAAACCCGCTCCAAGAAAGGACGCACCTGCGGCGCAGGGCTCTGCCTTCCCCACGGTGCAGCGCCATTGTCATGGTCGTGGGGCTTCCCTTGCCCTTCACCCTGCCTCCCACCCTGTCCTCATCCATGTGATCCCTGGTTGGGACTCATCAGAGATACCAGCAGGCAGGGCCCAGAGGCCGCCCTCTTGCCACTGCCATCTCTGGGGATAAGCCTGGCCGGGGTGAAGTTGAGCAGTGGCTCGATGTTATATTGATTCTCTCTTTTTTTTTTTTTTTTTTTTTTTGATATGATTTCTCACTCTGTCACCCAGGCTGCAGTGCAGTAACTCCATCTCTGCTCTGCGACCTCCGCCTCCCGGGTTGAAGCGATTCTCCTGCCTCAGCCTCCCGAGTAGCTGGGATTACAGGCACCTGCCATCACGCCTGGCTAATTTTTGTATTTTTAGTTGAGACAGTGTTTCACCATGTTGGCCAGACTGGTATTGAACTCCTGACCTCAGGTGATCAGCCTGCTTCAGCCTCCCAAGATGCTGGGATTATAGGCATGAGCCACTGTGCCCGGCCTGATTCTTTTTCCAGATATGCAGACCACTGGTCTCTGCTCAAATCTGTTTTTTGTTGAGTTGCAACTTAGGTGAAATGCACAGATCTTAAGTGCTCCTGGTGCCCTGCTGAGCTCCGCAGGCCCCTGGCTGTTGGGCCAGGTCCCATACCTGGCTCCTCTCTCCAAAGCAGAGAAGTTATTTCCATGCCAGGCCCCTGTGCTTGGGTTTGGAGCCTGGATGGAGCAGCGACTCTGTGGATAGGAAGTCTTGGGGGACACTGAGGCTCCCAGGCCCCTGACTGTCACCACCGTACACCTGCCTACAGCTTCCTCTTCCCCTTCATCTTGACCAGAGCATACCCAGGACCAAGTCGGCGAGTAGGTGACCAGTCACCATGACCAGCTGGTGTGGACTAAGGCTGGGGGACTGTGGGACGTGCTGGGGCATGGGTTGTTGAAGCTGCCTCAGACTCTGCGGGGTGCAGGAGGGGTGGGGAAGCTTCCCCAGAGACAGGTATGAGGAGTCCCCATGCAGGGTCAGGCCCTTGCAGGTGGTCTCACTCAGGCTCTTGGGGACAGGAAGCGAGATCTTCCTAGTCCCCAGTCTCTGTCCTTCCCCAGTGCCCCTCCCCCTGCAAATCTCATTAGGACCTTGAGGACACAACTCAAGGCACACACAGCAAAAGCATCAAGCGGCAGTAAGTTCCCCCCAGAGGTCAGCCTGCCCCCCTTTTCTGTCCTGTGCTCAGCAGCTGTCAAGCTCTTCGTCCCAATGCAAGCGACATAGTCAGGCAGGCCCAATCCTGCTTCTCAGCCCTGGGTGCTCAACCTCTGGGCTGCCCTTGAGTGGCACCCATGGGGCCGAGGCCCTCCCTCCTTCAGGCTCAAGGGGAGGAAGGAACAGAGAGGATGGGGAACAGCCAGACTGCCCCGGCGGGAAGGTGGCTTTGAGATCGGGCTGCTTTCGAAAGGGAAGTTCTGCTGAGAAGTCCCGTAGCTCCTCCACTGCCCACATCTTTTCTGGGGACCCTGCGGTTCACAGGACTCAATGCTGCTGCTGCAGGTCTTCCCAGAAAACCCCCCACCCCACATCACCACCAGCGCCCCTCACTGGCCTCTGAGCACCTGTGTCCACACCAGGAAGAGGCTCTAGAGCTGATCAGAAGTTTTGTGGTTGCTGTGTGACCCCCTCTCCTCCCCACCCTGGGAAATGGGCCTCAGCTCATGCTCCCCCGAGTCATGTCACCTGATGGGCATCGGCACATGGCCAGACGTGTCACTTCCCGAATTCTCTCATGTTTTGTGGTTGTTTTGCACCATGTTGCTTCTTCCTTTGGGTTTGTGGACAGGATGGGGTGATCAGGATGGGTGTGGCAGGGTGAGTCCCTGATCCCTTCCCTTTACAGTAAGTCAGGTGTTTCTCTATGTGCCTAAGGAGAATTGCATCCCGGGGATTATCTGTAAAGCACCCTGCTCCCTATTGAGTCCAATTTTCCTATTACCTTTCATCAAAAGTAGAGATGTATTTCCTGAGGAGAAAACTGACCTGAGGATGTTAAGTAACACTGACATTTGAGTATTTGTACCATCATCATACTACTTATTCCCATGGAGAAGCTGTCATTACTGATGTTTCACAGAAGCCACAGGCTTTGCTCAAGGTCATTCGGTGGTAAGTGGACAAGCCACGCCAGAACGTAGCCTTCTGCTTCTCTCTCTGGTCTGGACGTTCAAGACCACAGCAGTGCCTTTTTTGGTCATGGTTGAATCAAAAATAATTTTTAGGAAACTTTGCAATGATCAGGCCACATAAACCACTGAATGTGATGCATCTCCTGCATTTTTATGTTCAGCTCAATAATGTCACGATCCAAAGTGTCTTGGATCTTTTTTTTTTTTTTTCCGAGACACAGTTTCACTCTTGTTGCCCAGGCTGGAGTGCAATGGCACGATCTCGGCTCACTGCAATCTCTGTCTACCAGGTTCAAGTGATTCTCCTGCCTAAGCCTCATGAGTAGCTGGGACTACAGGTGCTCGCCACCAAGCCTGGCTAGTTTTTTTGTATCTTTAGTAGAGACTGGGTTACACCATATCGGCCAGGCTGGTCTCAAACTCCTGACCTCAGATGATTCACCTATCTCCCAAAGTGCTGGGATTCCAGGCATGGGTCACCGCGCCCGGCCAGTGTCTTGGATCTTGATGAGCTTTAGTCTCTGGCTGCATGGTAATAGAAATTCCCACGATGTCCTCCAGGCTCTGTCCTGGAATCCTCTAGCAGCAGAGCCCACAGGCCTCTGTGAAGTCCTGACACTTTCCTGGGCAAGGTGCTCCTGTGGCCAGAAGGAAGAGGAAAGGGAAAATTTCCAAAAGGAGCCAGAGGAAAGGGCATTCTTGGGACCCCAGAGCTGGCACAGGGCTCCGTGTGGGTGGAAACTCTGAGCTTGGGGACTGCAAGCTCCCAGGTGACGCATTTCACATTAGGACTGGCATTCTCTGTGCTCGCCTGGTCATTCTGTATAAGCTGGGGCACTTACACAAGGTGCATGTGAGACTGTGTGAGTTTGTGTGTGTGTGAATGTGTCCGTGTGTCTGAATGTGTATGTCAGTTGCGTATGTGTGAATGTGTTTCAGTGTGTGTGAATGTGTATGTGTGAATGTGTATGTATCAGTGTGTGTGAATGTGTGTGGCTAAGAGTGTATGTGTGTGTGTTTGTGTGTGTGTATGTGAATGTGTGTGGGTGAGAGTGCGTTTGTGTGTGTTCAGGGTGTATATGTGTGTGTGAATGAGTTTGTGAATGTGTGGGTGTGTGAATGAGTGTGTGTGTGAGTGTGTGAATGTGTATGTGAACATGTGTGTGCATGTGTGAGTGTATGTGTATGTGTGTGTTTGTATGTGTATGTGTACGTGAATGTGTGTTTGTGTGTATATGTATGTGTTTATGTGTGAGTGTATATTTGTGAATGAGTGTATATGAATGTGTGTTTGTATGTATGTGTGTTTGTTTATGTGTGTGTATGTGTGTTTGTGAATTAGTGTATATGAATGTGTGTGTATGTGTGTCTGTGAATGTATGTGAATGTGTGTGTATGTGTGTATGAGTATGTATGTGTGTGTGTTTGAGTGCGTATGTGTGAGTGTGCGTGTATGTCTAGAGTCTGAACTGCGTGTGGATCAGGAAGGAAAGGGGTCCCTGCAGGCTCGCTGAGCCCCGAGCTGGCTCCAGTGGGGCTATATAGAAAGGAAGGCAGGGCTGGAGGACCTTCCTGTCAAGTTGAGGACACATTTCCAAGACTAGGAACCATTCAGGGACTCTGAGGCCGATGACCAGGTCCCCTTCCCTGAGTCCAGATCCCCAGGTCTGGCCCCCAAGGGACTCAGGGAAAGGACTCAGAGAAGGGGCGTTCCCAAGGGCAGCCTCCTCGTGGGCACCGCCCAGGGTGAGAGGAGCCGGCTCAGCGGGCCCCTCCCCCAGGGTTGACCATCTTAACCACAGGGAAGGGAGGGAGGAGTTACTGGACCTTCCACTAGAAGGAAACCTGGACCCCGCAGACCCAGGAGGTGAGAGTCGGGGAGCAGGCCTGCCAGCTACTGGGTCACCACGGGGAGAGGTCTCATCACCACCAATAGCCAAGGAACCTGCAGACTCCACCCGGGTTAAGGAGATCATGCTGTTCCCAGCGGAGCCTCAGCCAGGTCTCCCCAGCTTCCTCCATTTTCTGACTGCCTCTAGGAAAAGAACCCAAAGCAGCTGAACAAGGAAGCAGCGCGGCACCAAGAAAAGCAGAAGTCGGAGGCTGGGAGACCCTCCCTGAGGCGCCGTGGTCCAGGCGCTGTTGCAAGTGCCACCTGTGCTGGGGAAGGGGCCATGTGGCTGCCTTGGACTCTGCTGCTCCTCTGGGTCCCAGGTGAGGGGCTTTCTGACCAGGAAAGTCTGCAGCAGGGAGGGAGGGTGCGAGGGGCAAGGCCACAGGGCAGGTGTCGCACAAGACACCCTGAATCTGGACTCCGAGCAGAACGCAGAATGGGGTGTGCTCTGTCCATCTTATATGAAGGACCACGCCCCTGGGAGAGGAAGGGGCCAGCCTCTCCCAGCTCTGCACCCACATACCGTGGCTGAACCACAGCGGGGTGAGTGATAAGGGGTGGCTGCAGAACAGGGACTTTGTAGGTTTTCAGTTGAATTCTTACAGGAAGGGGGACGAGAGGCAGGATGTGTCTGAGTGGGTGGAGAGTGGCAGCCACTGGCTGCGAGGGGCATGTTAGGAGGGTGGGGGCGATGCCTGGCTCACCAGGGGCAGGGTGCGGAGGAAGGGTAGGGGCTGGGAGGGTGTGGGTAGGGAGCAGGTCATTGGTCTCAGGAACATGGAGATTTAACCAGGGCAGCCCAGAGGCTGAAGTCTGAGCAGGGGGGATGTCCTGAGGCCAGCTTAGCTGGGGGTGGCCCCAGCATGGGCCTGAGAACCAGAGGTCAGCCATCTACAAGGAGGGGATATGGGATAGAGGGGGCAGAAAAGGTGGCAGGGAGGTTGAGGAGGGTAAAGAAACCAGGCAGAGAAGCGCTGAGATCTTCTTTCGGGAGAACCGTGGGGTGGAGCCTTCCCTGTCCAAGATCAGGGCTTCCTCTGCGGTCACCTGCTGTGCCTTTGGTCAGGCCACGTCCTCCGCTCTCCTCGGAAGGTCCTGTGCAGACTCTCAGGCCTAGTCCTAGGATATCTGACATCTTTTTGGTTGCTTTCCTTACAGATTGGGGTTTTTTTTTTGTTTTTTGTTTTTTTTTTTTTTTTTGAGACAGAGTCTCACTCTGTCCCCCAGGCTGGAGTGCAGTGGCGTAATCTCGGCTCATGCAACCTCTGCCTCCCGGGTTCAAGTGATTCTCCTGCCTCAGCCTCCTCAGTAGTTGGGATTACAGGTGGGCGACCACGCCCGGCTAACATTTGTATTTTTAGTAGAGACAGGGTTTCACCATGTTGGTCAGGCTGGTCTCTGATCTCAAACTCCTGACCTCATGATCCACCTGCCTTAGCGTCCCAAAGTGCTGGGATTACAGGCATGAGCCACTGTGCCCGGCCAGAGTGGAGGTTTTCTGCAATTATATTTGCTAACTACTAGTCTGTGAGAAGGTTATTACTTTTGGTATCTTTACTTGGAAAAAGGTCATCCTTCCATGACGGATGTTCCTGCAATTCTCTTGGGTGTTCTTCTGTGTCCATGGGATTGGTGTGCTTGAGGAGTCTTCAGTTCCTGTCTGATATCTGTTTTTCTCCCACTGACTCATTGGCTAGTACAGCTGGAATGAGGCCCAACAGATGCAGTGATAGTGATTGCCCCTGTCTTGTCGCTGACTCAGGGGAAAAGGACCAGCGCTTCTCATTTAGTAGGAAGAAGTCATCCACCAATGGCTATCTACAAAGCCTTTTTTTTAGAGACAGAGTTTCGCTCCTGTTGCCCAGGCTGAAGTGCAATGGCGCAATCTGGGCTCATTGCAACCTCCACCTCTCGAGTTCAAGTGATTCTCTTGCCTCAGCCTCCTGAGTAGCTGGGATTACAGGGACATGTCACCCCACCCAGCTAATTTTGTATTTTTAGTAGAGACAGGGTTTGTCCATGTTGGTCAGGTTGAACTCCTGACCTCAGGTGATCTACCCACCTTGGCCTCCCAAAAAGCTGGGATTAAAGGCCTGAGCCACCGAGCCCAGCGTCTACAAAGCAGTTTTATTTTTTTGAGACAGGATCTCCCTCCCTCACCTGACTGGAGTGCAGTTGGTGCAATCGTGATTCACTGCAGCCTCCACTTCCCCAGCTCAAGTGATCCTCCCACCTCAACCTCCACAGTAGCTGAGACGACAGGTGTGTGCCTTCACACCCAGCTGGTTTTGAAATTTTTTGTAGGGACAGGGTCTTACCATGTTACTGAGGCTGGCCTCCACCTCCTGGGCTCAAGCAATCCTCCCGCGTTGTCCTCCCAAAATGCTGGGATTACAGGCATGAACCACCACACTTAGTCCCTGCAAAACGTTTTTTATTTTTATTTTTTTGAAGACAATGTCTCTCTCTGTCACCCAGGCTGGAATGCAGTCGCTCAATCTTGGCTCGCTGCAACCTCCAACTCCCAGGTTCAAGCGATTCTCCTGCCTCGGCCTCCTGAGTAGCTGGGATTACAGGCACCTGCCACCATTTCTGGCTAACTTTTTGTATTTTTTAGTAGAGATGGGGTTTCACCGTGTTGCCCAGGGTGGCCTCGAGCTCCTGAGCTCAGACAATTCTGCCAGCCTTGGCCTCCCAAAGCGCTAGGATTATAGGCATGAGCCACTGCCCCCAGCCCCTACAAAGCACCATTTTTATTATCTATAGAAATTATTTGTATCCTTTCAGCTGTGAAGGAGGTGAATTACGTTAAGAGGTCTGGCCAGATTTTTGTCTTGCTGTGTTATGCCAGCTTCATGAAAAGAACTAGGGAGCTCCCTGTCTCTGTGTTCTCTGCAAATGTTTAAATACCCCTGAAATTTTTTGTTCCTTGAAGTTTAGAGAGAACTTGTAAAACTCTCTGAGTTTTGCTTCTTTTCTTTTGGTGGAAGGGAAAGAATTTCTTAATAACACTTATCATTTTTGGTCTACATTTTTTTTTTTTTTTTTTTTTTTTTTTTTTTTTTTTTTTTTGAGACGGAGTTTCGCTCTTGTTACCCAGGCTGGAGTGCAATGGCGCGATCTCGGCTCACTGCAACCTCCGCCTCCTGGGTTCAGGCAATTCTCCTGCCTCAGCCTCCTGAGTAGCTGGGATTACAGGCACGTGCCACCACGCCCAGCTAATTTTTTGTATTTTTAGTAGAGACGGGGTTTCACCATGTTGACCAGGCTGGTCTCGATCTCTTGACCTCGTGATCCACCCGCCTCGGCCTCCCAAAGTGCTGGGATTACAGGCGTGAGCCACCGCGCCCGGCTTTTGGTCTACATTTTAAAAAATCTAGCTGAATGCAGTGGCTCACACCTGTAATCCCAGAATTTGAGTAGGCTGAGGTGGAAGGATTACTTGAGTCCGGGAGTCGAGACTGGCCTAAGCGCTATAGCAAGACTCCAACTCTTAAAAAAAAAAAAAAGATATAGATATAGATATAGATATAGATAGATAGATAGATAGATAGATATAGATATATAGATATATAGATATATAGATATATAGATATATATTCTTGGCCTACATTGGTAATTTAGATTTTTCTTAAAAATCATCAGTGTTGTTCAGGTTGACAGACTTATTTGTAGAGATTTGCAAATTGAACTGTTATATTTTTTTTTTTTTGAATTGTACATCTGTGTCTATTTTTTTGGTCTGGCTACCCACTAGTCTAGTTAATTGTTTGAGGCCAAGTGCAGTGGCTCACGCCTCCCACTTTGGGAGGCCAAGGTGGGTGGATCACTTGAAGTCAGGAGTTCGAGACCAGCCTGGCCAACATGGTGAAACCCCGTCTCTACTAAAAACACAAAATTAGCCAGGCGTGGTGGCTCACACCCTGTAGTCCAGCCACTTGAGAGGCTGAGACATGAGAGTCACTTGAATACGGGCAGCGGAGATTGCAGTGAGCCAAGATCAGGCCACCACACTCCAGCCTGGGTGACAAGAGCAAAACTCCATCTCAAAAATAAAATGATTAGGCGTTTGCCACTTCCAGAAGAAAAATCCATTTTTAAATGTGTATGCTGACTCTACTGTTTTCTTCTTTTGTGTTTTATATATATGTTTTTTTTTTGTTCTGTTTTTGTTTCTTATTTCACTGATTTCTGTGAATTCACAAATTTGTGAAAGAAGACCTGGTTCTACATTGTGTATGCATGTGTTCCTTTTCTGACCTCTTGAGTTGGACACTTCTGTCATTTATCTGAGAGTTAATGGGTCAAGACTCTGATCTTGAAGGAAAACATTAAGACAACAGATAAACATCCTGGTAGAGGACCCTGGCCCCAAGGCAGTCTCCAGTCTCCTGTTTATGATTAGAGGATTGGGGCTAGGAGCACTGGGAATACGTGTGGTTAGGGGAAATAAACAGAGGGTTTTCTGACACTTCCCAATCTATAAATTATAATGCCACCTTCACAGGTGGGGCAGAGCTTTGGGGAAATTTGGTAATAGTTCTTTGTTTTTGTGTTTTTGAGACAGAGTCTTGCTCTGTAATTCAGGCTGGAGTGCAGTGGCGTGATCTCAGTTCACTGCAACCTCCGCCTCCTGGGTTCAAGCGATTCTCCTGCCTCAGTCTCCTAAGTAGCTGGGATTACAGGCATGCACCACCACACCTGGCTAATTTTGGTATTTTTAGTAGAGACAGAGATTCACCATGTTGGTCAGGCTGGTCTCTAACTCCTGACCTCGTGATCTGCCCACCTCAGCCTCCCAAAGTCCTGGGATTACAGGCGTGAGCCACCACACCTGGCCAGTTACAGTTTTTTATCCAAGGTTTCAGAGGGAAGAAGTTAATCAGGAGAGACAGAAAGAGGGAGAGAGAGAGAGAGAGAGAGAGAGAGAGAGAGAGAGAGAGAAGAGAGAAGAGAGAAGAGAGAAGAGAGAAGAGAGAAGAGAGAAGAGAGAAGAGAGAAGAGGAGAGAAGAGAGAAGAGAGGAGAGAGAATCCAAAGACAAGTCAGACACTGGAGGTGGGACAAGAGACCGGACTGGGTGCTATGGGCAGAGGAGGTGGGGGTCACTGAGGTCCGGAGAGAAGCCAAAATAGATAAAGAAAGATGATGATTCACAGCTCAGGAGAGGCAGGGAATCGGATCAGGACAAGGACCAGGAGCAGTATCTTGGGTGGAAGAGGGCTGGGAACTGACATTCATTCATTCATTCATTCATTCATTCATGTATATATGTATGTATGTTTTGAGATAGGGTCTCACTCTGTTGCCCAGGCTGGAGTGCAGTGGTACGATCACAGCTAACTGCAATCTTCACCTTTTGGACTCAAGTGATCCTCCTGCCTCAGCCTCCTGAGTAGCTGGGAACCCAGGCACGTGCCACCACACCTGCTAATTTTTTGTACTTTTGGTAAAGATGGGATCTCATCATGTTGCCCAGGCTGGCATCAAACCCCCAGGCTCAAGCGATCCCCCCACTTTGGCCTCCTAAAGTGCTAGGATTACAGGCATGAGCCACTCACTGCACCTGGCCTGTTTAAGACAGGGTCTCACTGTCACCCAGGCTGGAGTGCAGTGATGTGATCATCGCTCACTGCAGCCTCAACCTCCTGGGCTAAAGTGATCCTCCCACCTCAGCCTCCTGAGTAGCTGGGACTGCATGTGTGAACCAGCACACCCAGGTAATTTTTGTATTCTTTTTTGTAGAGACGGGATCTCGCCATGTTGCCCAGACTACATCTACTTATTTAGCACTTAGCATGTGTCAATTTTAGTGATTTGCGTTTTTCTAGAAAATCACATTCATCTAAGTTTATGAATTTTTTGTAGGGAATTTCTTGATATCTTGACTCTCCATTCTTCCTTCATCTATGGTCCTTTTCTCTTGTCATTTCTTATTCAGGGCAGCCCAAAGGTTATCCATCTTTATTAGCCCGAGTCATATGAAACCCTGTCGTCTTGGTCAAAACGTTGAATCTTGGCCATGTCATGTGATTCAACCTAATGTTATTTGCCAGGCGTTTTGCACCTGTGATCTCATTTAACACCCGCAAAGGCCATATGAGTCAGGGACAATTGTCACCATTTCCTAGGTGAGGTGTCTGAAGCTCAGAGAGGTTAACTAACTTGTCTCAGAACACCCGATACATAATAGGGTAGAGATATAAATGCAGATTCTTCTGAGGTTCCTTCTGCTTTGTCCTGGCAATTGTCGCTGAGAGCCTCAGGAAACGTCACACCTGTGACAAGCTTAGAAAGGCCTCCTCTGCAGGGGATCTGTACATTCGGGCCAGGAGGGGAGGTTTGCGGGGGCCTCTGGGAGAGGCACTGGGGAGCTTGTCATCATCTTTGGGCAGCCATGGGCTGGGTGGGAGCCGATGGGGTCGAGGAGGAGGGGTCATAAAGTTTCTATAAAAGGCCTACCATACTCAAGGCACCTGTAGACACCGAAGGGATGAGAAGGAGACCCCTACCCCCTGGGGCTTCCATTTCAGTGCTCCAAAGTCTCATGTGAGGAGATTTGACCATTTGAAACAGTAAGTGAAATTAGAGTTCTGGCCAGGCGCAGTAGCTCACATCTGTAATCCCAGCACTTTGGGAGGCCGAGGCAAGCAGATCACCTGAGGTCAGGAGTTCACAACCAGCCTGGCCAACATGGTGAAACCCCATCTCTACTAAAAATACAAAAATTAGATGGATATGGTGGACGCCTGTAATCCTAGTTACTTGGGAGGCTGAGGCAGGAGAATCGCTTGAACCCAGGAAGCGGAGGTTGCAGTGAGCCGAGATCCTGCCACTGCACTCCGGCCTGGGCAACAGATCGAGACTCCATCTCAAAAAGAAAATAAGAGTTCTAACCTGAGGAAAGGAGAACAAGCCTGCCTCCCACCATCCCCAGCCAATGTGGGGCCCGATCACAGAATCACAAGGGCAGTGAGACACCGCACACACAACTGCCCAGCGGGCACGTGCCCATCTGCCTGGGGGAGGGGCCATGTGTCCTCTGCTTGGCGTCAGGCACTAGCTTCCAGCTATCACCTTGCTTTCCCTACTTTGCATCTGAGAATTATTTGGGAAAATGGCAGACCTAATTTTCAAGGAAGCTCATTTATTTCCGAGATTGAAGTCTAGAAGAGCGGGGCAAAATAAGGTAAGACACAGGATGCATGAAAGTCTTTGTCAGTGAGCCTTCTGCGTTTGTGACTTTGAGATGGAGTCTCGCTGTCACTCAGGCTAGAGTGCAGTGGCGCCATTGCAGCTCAGCGTAACCTCCGCCTCCAGGGTTGAAGCGATTCTCGTGCCTCAGCTTTCTAGTAGCTACAATTACTGGCATGTGCTACCATGCAGGCTAAGTTTTGTATTCTTAGTTGAGACAGGGTTTCACCATGTCGGCCAGGCTGGTCTCGAACTCCTGGCCTCAAGTGATCCACCTGCCTTAGCCTCCCAAAGTGCTGGGATTACAGGCGTGAGCCACTGTACCTGGCCAGTATTCTTGTCAAAATGGCTTGACAACCCTATTGCTGTCCAGGTTTGTCCCCCTGGTGGGATCAGATCGGTATGTGGGCTGGTCTTCCTCTCGCTGGGGTACCCAGGGCTGGGGTGGCCCTCCCGGAAAGGCAGGTACTTAGGGGTAAGTTCTCATGGTCCTGGTAGATTTGGAAGTAGGAGGTCCCTGTGGGTGAGAGGGGTGGGAAGGGTAAGGAAGAGGAGGCAGGAGGCTGGAGAAAGGGGCTGCTGTGAGCAAAATCTCAGGGTCACAGAGCAGAAAAGACAATGCTTAAGGTATGATCTGGCTGATGGGGCTGATATGAGGTGAAGGAGTCAGGGGCTGAAGGCTGGGGTGCTGATGGGGCATTGGGGAATCTTTGGAGGAGGTGACCCCAGGGCACCCAGCCTGAGCCCTTCCAGTCTCTATGGAAGCCTCTGCCCCATTCCCACCTGTGCACAGAGGGAGCCTCTTGTCCCCACTCCTGGGTGGACAAGGCCTGCCTGCCTGCCTCTGCCTCCTCCACACCCCCAGGGTCCATGCAGCCCTGACCCCAGGGCACCCCTGGCCAGGCCCATCTGAGGAGGAGCCGGGACTCGGGCTTGTGTTTTCCAGGCTGTTTTGCTCTGAGCGGCCCCAGCACCGTGGCGGGCCCCCTGGGGGGATCCCTGAGCGTGCAGTGTGGGTATGAGGAGGAACACAGGACTCTCAACAAATACTGGTGCAGAGTACGGTGGACTATCCGATGTGACAAGATTGTGGAGACCAAAGAGTCAGCAGGAAAACTGAGGAACAGCCGAGTGTCCATCAGGGACCATCCTGCAAACCTCAGCTTCACAGTGACCCTGGAGAATCTTACAGAGGACGATGCAGGCACATACTGGTGTGGGGTGGATACACCATTGCTCCGAGACCTTCATGATCCCATCATCAAGGTTGAGGTGTCCGTGTTCCCAGGTGAGCCCCTCCTTCCCTCAGTGCCTAAACAGGCCTCAGGTTGGAATTGACGGGGCAGGAATCAGATTGGAGACATGAAACTGTGTGTGTGTGTGTGTGTGTGTGTGTGTGTGTGTGTGTGTGTGTGTGTGTGTAAGAGAGGGAGAGAGATGGGGCCAGGGGAACAGTCAGGCGGTCTCTCCTGGAGCAGCTGACATCTCTGCCCAGTGTTGAAGAAGGGAAGGGTCCGGTGACAGGGAGGCTGAGAGCATTGCCTGCGAAGGAGCCAGGAGCGCACCTGAGGCTCAGCACCACGGAAGTGCAGCTGTGTGGGGAGAGAGTAGGGCTGAACAGAGAGGCTCCGGGGGCCAGATGGGAAGCCGCTGCTCTCAGGGGGAGCCTTACCATGTGACAGTTCAGATTTGCAGTGCAGACTGACTCCTTTGCGGCATGGGGGCTCACAGGAGCACCTGCACCCTCACCAGCAGGACGGAAAATCAGGACCATTGGGAGTGGGACCTGGGTCCTGTTCAGAAATGCCCAGTTGGCCCAGGAGGGTCCTGCATCCTGCCCCCTTCCTGAGTGGGCATTTCGCATGAAATCAAACCAAAAAAGCGCCCTGAGTGGTGGGAGAGTGCGAGGACAGCTCCCTGGGTCTGACTTGTGGTTCTGTCACCAGCATCAACGTCAGCGACACTTACCAGTGTCACTGCAGCCAGGACCTCAGCCATCACAACTGCATTTCCACCTGTGCCATCCACTACCCTGTTGACAGTGAGTGCTACCCACAGTACCGGCATCCAGGGGGACAATGAGGAGGTCGTGAACTTCAAGTAAGCACGCTAGCCCCTGAGACACGGAGGGGGCCCTGTGGGAAGGAGCCCAGGGTGGGGACCTTGGCCATGTGGGGCAGCCGGAGGTGCGCACCACTCCTTTTGCCCCAGGCACAGGTTGGAAGCCAGTCTGTATACACCGGCTTGGACCTGTCCTTGGCTTTGGGAGGGGGCTCAGATAAGGGAGAAGTTGGGGGGCAGACGGAAGGAAAGCGACAGTTACTGAGCGCTGGTGACACCCTGCGAGGCCCGGGTTAGACGCTTCATGTGAGTATTCTCATTTGCCCTTCACCGCGGCCCTGTGCTGTCGCCATCCCTGTGTTAGTTCATTTTCACACTGTTGATAAAGACATACCCAAGACTGGTTAAATCATTACGAGAAAGAGGTGGGCCGGGCGCGGTGGCTCACGCCTGTAATCCCAGCACTTTGGGAGACCGAGGTAGGCGGATCACCTGAGGTCGGGAGTTTGAGACCAGCCTGACCAACATGGAGAAACCCCGTCTATACTAAAAATACAAAATTAGCCGGGTGTGGTGGCGCATGCCTGTGATCTCAGCTACTCAGGAGGCCGAGGCCGGAGAATCGCTTGAACCTGGGAGGCAGAGGTTGCGGTGAGCCGAGATCCTGCCATTGCACTCCAGCCTGGGCAACAAAAGTGAAACCCCATCTCAAAAAAGTAAAAAATAAAAAAAAAAGAGAGGTTTAATGGACTCAGTCCCACATGGCTGGGTGGCCTCACAATCATGGCAGAAGGCAAAAGCACACCTTACGTGGCAGCAGGCAAGAGAGAGAATGAGAACCAAGCAAAAAGGTTTCCTCTTATAGAGCCATCAGGTCTCGTGAGACTTAATTCACTACCACGAGAACAGTACAGGGGGAAACCACCCCATGATTCAATTATCTCCCGCCGGGTCCCTCCCACAACACGTGGGAATTATGGGAGCTACATCTCAAGATGAGATTTGAGTGGGGGCACAGCCAACCCACATCAATCCCCATTTCGCAGATGAGTAAACTGAGACTCAGAGAGGTTAAGCAATTTGCCCAGTCAAGTAGCTACAAGGGGCAAGGTTAAGCTTCCAATTCTGGTTTAAGTGACTCCAAAGCCTCACGTTCTCCTCTCTAAATAGTTGTTCTTAACCTTTTTTGGGGTCACCAAACCCACATAGAATCTGACATCTATAAACACTCTCCCCAGAAAAACACATACAGTCACAAACAATTTCTGGGGTTCATGGACTCCCTATTCTGGCACAAAACCCCACAGTTCGATCCTGGTGCTGGTGACCTGGAGTTGCTGCAGACCTCACAGGTGAAGAGCTTCAACATCCACAAGACCACCCTGATTTAGATGCTAGCCAAACTTTGGGGATCCCCAGAGCACCACACTTCTGACCAACTGGCTGCAAATTTGGGGGTCCCCAGGACCCCCTCAGGTTCCATAATTTGTTAGACTCAAAACTCTGGAAAGCATTATACTTACAATTACAGTTTTAGCCTAAAGGATAACGATTAGGACCAGCCAATGAAGCGATACATAGGACAAGGCTTGGGAGGATCCCAATCAGAGCTTCTGTGCCCTCTCCAGGTGGACTCAGGGAGCATCACCTGCATCACTCCCCCCTCAAACCCCACCTCAATATGTTTATCAGCCAGGACGCTCCTCCAAGCTTTGGTGTCCAGAGTTTTTATTGGGTTTCATTACATAGGTATGATGTGATTGAACTGTCTCCACCTCCAATCCCTCTTTGGGAGGTTGGGCTGGTTCAGGGCTCCAGATCTCTAATGACGTGGTTGATCTTTGTGGTGACCAGCCCTATCCTGTTGTCTCAGCTCTTAGCAAAGTCCAGGTGTGATTCATGAACAAGAAAAACACTCCTAATTCTTGACAAATTCCAAGGATTTAGAGCCTCCCTCCTAAGATCCAGGGACAAAGGCCAGCCAGATTCTTTACTAAATAATACCCAGAAGACCCTCCACAGGCTTCTGCCAACCCAGAATCACAGTCTCAATATTGAGAGTGACAAGGCGAAATTCAGGCTTGAACATGCCACTTCCAGAAGTTTACCCTGGAGATACACAGAGATGGCAGAGCTGGGTTCTGTAGGGCCTGAAGGTTGTGCAATTTGTGGGTGGGGGGCAGGACAATCACTTTTATTTTTTTGAAATGGAGTTTCACTCTTGTTGCCCAGACTGGAGTGCAGTGGTGAGATCTCGGCTCACTGCAACCTCCGCCTCCCAGGTTCAAGCAATTCTCCTGCCTCAGCCTCCCGAGTAGCTGGGATTACAGGCATGCGCCACCACGCTTGGCTAATTTTGTATTTTTAGTAGAGATAGGGTTTCTCCATGTTGGTCAGGCTGGTCTTGAACTCCTGACCTCAGGTGATCCACCTGCCTCAGCCTCCCAAAGTGCTGGGATTACAGGTGTGAGCCACTGCGCCTGGCTTGGGGGGTGGCAATCTAAGAAAAAGATGAGAAAATTATGAATGCAAACGTAGGCATGAAGGAAGGGGCCCAAGCAGTGGAGGGGCCGCAGCTGGGCTGCGTCAGCCTCCTGGTCAATTTGCTGCTGCGTGGTCAGGTGGAAAAGCTGCAGCTGCAAGGCAATTTATAAGCAACATTTATCATTGCAAAGGACTGGGGGAAATGCCCATTCAGAGGGAACATTTCAATAAATCATGGTTTATCCGTGTGTTGGAATACCCTGCAGCTACAGGAAAGAGTGAGGGACTTCTTTACGTACTGATGTGGAAAGACCGCTAAGATTTATTGTTAAGTAAAACCAGAATATGTTAGATGAGGCCTCCTTTGTGTGAGAAGAGAAGGGAAATCCTGTACATTCATACGTGCTTGTATACACATAATACGTGCTTGTATACACATAAACTGGAAGGTTCTTAAGAACAGCACGTGTGTATACATAGGGAAATTGGGGAATGTGTAAATGGGGGGGTATGTAGAAAGGAGGCTTTATACTGTCTCTCTCTCTCTCTTTTTTTTTTTGAGACACAGTCTTGCTCTGTTGTTCAGGCTGGAGTGCTGTGGCGCCATCTCAGCTCACTGCAATCTCTGTCTCCTGGGTTCAAGCAATTCTCCTGCCTCAGCCTCCCAAGTAGCTGGGATTATAGGCGCCTGCCACCACACCCAGCTAATATTTTGTATTTTTAGTAGAGACAGGGTTTCACTATGTTGGCCAAGCTGGTCTCAAACTCCTGACCTTGTGATCCACCTGCCTCAGCCTCCCAAAGTGCTGGGATTACAGGCGTGAAGCCACTGCGCCCAGCCACAGTCTAATTTTTTAAAAATTGACTTTAAGAGTTACTTAGAAAATTGACCTTAAAAGTTACTTAAAAAGTTGGAGAAGGAGACCAGGTGTGTTGGTTCCTGCGGGTCATCCCAGCACTTTGGGAGGTCGAGGCAGGAGGGCGGCTTGAGCCCAGGAGTCTGAGACCAGTCTGAGCAATATAGCAAAATTATATCTCTACAAAAAAGTTAAAAATTAGCTGGGCATGGTGGTCTGTATCCCAGCTACTCAGGAGGCTGAGGCAGGAGGATCACTTGAGCCCAGGGGTTCAAGGCTGCAGTGGGCCATGATCACCACTGCACTCCAGCCTGGGTAACAGAGCCAGATCCTGTCTCCAAAAAAATAACGTGGGGAAGGCAAGCTCGCCCACCCTCACCATCCTGCGCCTCCTCCAGGCTCCCGCTGCTCCTCTCCCTGCTGGCGTTGTTGCTGCTTCTGTTGGTGGGGGCCTCCCTGCTAGTATGGAGGATGTTTCAGAAACGGGTCAAAGGTGAGTTGGCTCCCCACACCCTTCTCCCCCACCTAGGGTGGTCAGGCCCTGACCACAGCCACTCATTTCGAAGCTATGTCCTTGTCCCCCGGAATTGCCACCAAATGCCACACCCAGACCACACATCCTGGGCGATCCCACAGGACTGGTCCCAGAGGCGGCACCCTTAAGTTTGGTGGTTACAGGCTGTGGGAGGTGGCTACCCAGCAGGAGACTTTCCCACTGCCGGGCCGAGGGTGGCTGCCCCATGAAGCCATGACTCTCTTCTCAAAAAAAGACAATACCCTGTAGGAGGCAAGCTCGCCCACCAGGGATTACAGGCGTCAGCCACCTTGCCTGGCCAGTGTCTAATTTTATTAACTTGACCTTATCTATTTACTTAAAAAGTTAGAGAAGAAACTTTGGCACGGTGAGCTGGGCACAGTGGTGTGCATCGATAGCTCCAGCTACTGAGGAGGCTGAAATGGGAGGATCGCTTGAGCCCAGGAATTCAAGACCAACCTGTGTATATAAAATAAAATAAACCCTTGCATGGTCTCCCCCACCATAAAAAGTCCGGGTCCCTACGGGAGTCATGGCCCTCCACGATCTGGCCCTACCCACCTCCCTCTCCCCATCCGTGCACTCTGGAAACCAACTTCTTGGATCTCCTTGTGCTTTAATGAGAGCCTCAACCTCAGCCTCTCCTTCTCTCCTTCTGGGTTTGCTCTGAGCACCTGGAGGGTCTCCCCTGCCCTCCCTACCCAGCCCTCTCTCCCCTGCCCTCCCTCCCCGGCCCTCTCTCCCCTGCCCTTCCTCCCCAGCCCTCTCTCCCTGCCCTCTCCCTGGCCCTCTCTCCCCAGCCCTCTCTCCCTGGCCCTCTGTCCCCTGCTCTCTCTCCCCAGCTCGCTCCTGGTGAACTCTAACAGTTGTCCTCAGACTTCCTGTTCCCTGGGACATCTTCTTTGACTCCAAGAGTGGCTTGGGCCCCTCCTGGCTATACCTCTGCTGTCACAGACTTTGGGGAACCAGACTGTCATTGCTGGCTTCCTCACCTGCCTTCCCATAGGCATGTGCTTCAAGGAGGTACAGAACCAATATTCATCAAATTAATGTGTTATTCAATATCTCCAGCCACAACGGGCACCCCAGGGGCCCCCAGGCAACCTCTATTCCAGCCGCCATCCTCTGAGCTCAGATTAAAAGAGAGAACAGGAACTCTTGGCACTCAGTAAGTAGGTGCTCATTAAATACCTGATAGGCACATTGAATAAGCACAGGAACAGAGGCACACATGGAGGTGTGGCCGCCAGTCCTCTAGGAGAGCACATCCCTGGCCGAGGTGAAGTGTAAACCTAAAGCTTCCTCCTTGTTTGGAGAGTTTGGGATTCCACGGGCAGAAGATTCTCAGGGGAATCTTTGTCCAAAGGCTTCCAAGACCGCAGTGAGACTGGTGTGGGAAGAGATGGGTTATCCTGTCCCATAGCTGCAGGAGACGCTGGTGCATGCTTGGTGGGGGCACTGCTCACACACACCCCGCACCCCGCCCCCAGTGCCTCTGGTGGACCCAGGCCTTAGGGAGAGAAATCAGCCTCAGTTGGTCTGTGCAGGGTGTATGGGAAGAGAATCACTTCCTCTTCCTGCCTGCTTCGCTCGAGTCATTTTCTGGTAACCCCACTCTAAACGGCAGCACCCACGTGGACGCCACTGACCACATAGGCGTTTGTCTCAGCTCTGAGCCCCTTTCAGTTTCCTCATTGCCCTTTCACCCAGAAAGACTCTCGCTCCTCAAAGAGCCTTCTCCCCACTTAAAGAGGATATATGTGGTTATTGTAGGAAATCTGAAAAATGAGTAAAGGCACAAAGCAGGAAATAAATTCTCCATCATCAATGATAACTAAAAACGCCACCACCTAGAGAAAACCACTGGCATCTAAGTATGTCCTTCCAGTCTTTCTTCTCCGCCTATATATATCCGTCTATGATTTTTTTTTTTTTTTTTGAGACGGAGTCTTTTTTGTTTTGTTTTGTTTTTGAAACGGAGTTTCGCTCTTGTTACCCAGGCTGGAGTGCAATGGCACGATCTCGGCTCACCGCAACCTCCGCCTCCTGGGCTCAGGCAATTCTCCTGCCTCAGCCTCCTGAGTAGCTGGGATTACAGGCACGCGCCACCACGCCCAGCTAGTTTTTTGTATTTTTTAGTAGAGACGGGGTTTCACCATGTTGACCAGGATGGTCTCGATCTCTTGACCTCGTGATCCACCCGCCTCGGCCTCCCAAAGTGCTGGGATTACAGGCTTGAGCCACCGCGCCCGGCGAGACGGAGTCTTAATCTGTCACCCAGGCTGGAGTGCAGTAGTGTGATCTTGGCTTGCTCCAGTCTTGACCCCCCAGGTTCCAGCAATCCTCCTGCCTTAGCCTCACAAGTAATGGGGAATACAGGTGCTCACCTCCACGTCCCGCTTATTGTTTAATTTTTTTTTTTTTTTCCAACTATGTTGCCCAGCCTGGTCTTGAACTCCTGAGCTCAAACCCAGAGTGCTGGGATTACAGATGTGAGCCACCACACCCAGTCAAGCATCTGTGATTTCTTAACAAATTGACCTCATACCACTCATTCTCTTTTAAACCTGCATTTTTGCACTAAACATATTGTACTGTGTTCCCAGCTATTAAATGCTCTAAAAATCACAGGCTGCAGAGTTTACCAGTGTCTTAAACTTCCTTTAAGGCATCCTCAGTAACAAGATAAAGGCTTTCTGTTCAAACATTTTTGACTCTCTGTCCCCTGCTTTGCAAGTCCCTGTGCCCCCCCATGTGCCAGGCCTATGCTGGGCCCTGGGGGCACCATTGTGACTGGGGTAGACTGAGTCTTACCTTCGGTGAGTTTCCCTGTGGCTGGCTCCCCAGAACCTTCTCACTACCACCCTCCTTCCACCCTCTTTCCCTGGCTTTGAACTCCTGTGTCTTCCCCACCAGCTCTTTTTCACCTTCTCATCAGAACACCTGTCCCAGGTGGGGACAGGGAGGGCGGCGTGGCACCTGCTCACAGCATTTGGAAGCAGAGCACTGTGCATCCCAGACTACCCAGCTGCGTGCTCTGTCAGGTCAGCTGCGGCTCAGCAAGCCCGTCACTGTCCATGGTCCTGTGTCTCCCAATTGTGGGGTCCTCCACTTTCATTCTGGGAGCTCCCTGAGAGGTGGACAGAGTGTCTCTCCCAGTTTCATCCAATGCAGTGGGCTCTGTGGTTGCCTGGAGGTGGGCCTAACCAAGAGCATTGGTGGCGTGTGTCACCCACTGCCCACCTGGTCTGGGCTCCCGGGGTGAAAGGGTCAGGGTATACAGGGCTGTGCGCACAGGCAGCTCCCCTACAGAGCAGGTGCCAGGAGCCAAGGGCTATACAAGCCCGAGCTGGGATGCCTGGAGCTGAGAGGCCTCCTTCCCTACGGCCCGGGGCAGCAGGAGTGTGGGCTGCCTGGGAGGGCAGACCCCAGGCACGGGGATGGGAGCAGAGGTTCCCAGCAACTTCCCACAGTCAGATGCAGCCCTCAGTCCCAGACGCACAGGCTTTTTCAGTGGTATCCTTCCTCCCCTGGAAACGTTTGTGTGAGGTCCTGTGTTGAGAGCTTGCTTACCATGGACAAATCGATCCTCTCCTCCAGCTGGGATCTATTTGTCCATTTATTCATTCATCCATTTACTAAGTCACTAATTCACTCACTCAACACACCCTTGAGTTCCTAGCATGCCTGGGGCCTGAAGGGCTAGGTTCCCAGGCCTGAGGTCTCCAGGGAAAGACCTTTGCCCAGAAGGCTCATAGGGCCCTCCGTCCGGCCCTAGCTCCGGGATTCAACCTCCTTCCTCTCCTCTCGTCTCTAGCTGGTGAGCATTCAGAGCTGTCCCAGAACCACAGGCAGGTAAGGGGGGCTTCAGCAGGAGGTGGTGTCTCCGGTGGCTGGGCAGAGGGTACAGAGGATGCTGGGAGTTGGACAGTCCCATCAGCCAGTGGAGGATGGATGGAGCGTGGAGCTCGCCCAGAGCAGGACAAATGCTGCTGGGTCACTGGGTCTTGTTCCGAGTCCCGGCCAGCCTGTCCCCTCCCCACCAGGGCACATAGAATGAAGTGGGGGCCCTCCCAGCAGAGCTGACCTGGGGAACATTCAACTACTTGGCAGGGTGGGGTGGAGGCAGGAAGGGGAAAGTTGTGGCTGAGACGCTCAGAGCATAGAGGAAGGGAGACACGTGCAGAGACGCAGGGACAGAGGCTACAGGGCTCCGTGGACACCCACCCGGCACCTCCTGCCCCCCTCCCCCAGGCTGTGGAGGAGAGTGAGCAGCACTATGCGAATCTGGAGCTGCTGACGTGGCCTCTGCAGGAAGAGCCAGCACTACCAAAGCAGGTGGAAGTGGAATACAGCACCGTGGTAAGTGCGGGAGCCTGCTGCCGGGCATGCGGCCCCTGGGCTATGCCAGGGCACCCCAGGGGGGTGGGCAGAAGGGGAAGGAAGGGGTCAGCTTGGTGATCTTGCACCTCTCAGGGACAGGGCCACTCGGAGATGGAGCAAGTGTAGATTTTGCCAGAGCAGAGGTCCTTAGAAGGGCTTGGTGTCACTGTGGCTGGGGGTCGGGGGGTGGCCCCTGACAGTCCGTGAAGTCTAGGATGGGTTAAGCACTTGCTGTATATCATGCGCCAAGGTGAGAACCTGCCATTTCTCACTGTTTTGGTCTCATCATCTCTTTGGCATCAATTCTGCCTTCCAGGTTTTTGTCTGTGACCCGCTGTGGGTCAACCCTAGGGCACAGCCACCTTCAACTGGGATAAAGGGATGGGGCTGCCTCCCTGGGTGATGACCCACCTGCTAGTGGGAGAGTTCAAGCAGAAGCTGGGGGTCACTTGGCAGAGAGGATGGGTAAGCATCAGAGATGCTTAAAGGACCCCCCAGGCCTGGGAGCCAAAGGAGCCCCTCAGGCAGGTTGTGTGGTGCCGTGGAGGGCTGGTGCCAGGGAGACAGGGGATACTGTGGCTGGTCTGCCTGAAAAAGTGGCCCAACTCCCTGGGATGTCTCCACCTGGTGCCATTCCCCCAGGCCACTGTTCTTGCATCGGACAGAGGAAGAGAGATAGAGTCCTGTCACTTCAGGGTCCCCTGATAGCCACGCCCCTCCCCGACCTCCAGCCAGCTGTCTGGATGAGGATGAAAGTGGTCTGGGGCCCAGGGTCCTGGATGGCTCCTGGCCAAGTTTCTTTTCTTTTTTCTTTTTTTTTTTTTGCATCTCACTCTGTCGCCCGGGCTGCAGTGCAGTGGCACAGTCTTGGTTCACTGCAATCTCTGCCTCCCAGGTTCAAGCGATTCTCCTGCCTCAGCCTCCCAAGTAGCTGGGACCACAGGCACATGCCACTGCACTGGCTAATTTTTGTATTTTTAGTAGAGACAGGATTTTTACCATGTTCGCCAGGATTGTCTTGAACTCCTGACCTCAAGTGATCCACCTGCCTGGCTTCCCAAAGTGCTGGGATCATAGGCATGAGCCACCTCTCCCGGCCAGCTCCTGGCCAAGTTTCTGAGCACCCCTGCAATGGTCAAGCCTGATCCCTTCCTTGCATAACATGATTTTGTGTCCACACAGCTTCGTGGCCTGGAACCAGCAACAGCCTTGTTTTCTAACTGGGTATCTCATGCTCTAAAGTGGATGGGGCATGGCCTTACTCTTCTCCCGACCCCCTTGGTACAAGTTGGGACTTGTGCCCACAGCACAATGAGTTAATCAGAGATGCAGGGCCAACACGGTGCCCCTGTACTGACCTCAACGCCACCTCAAGAGCTAGGGATCCTCTGCAGAAAGGGACCTCAGAAAGGGACCTGTGGCTGCTTCATTGTGAGAACTTTTCTTTTTTTTAATTTTTTTCTTGTGACAGAGTCTCACTCTGACACCCAGGCTAGAGTGCAGTGGTGCAATCTCGGCCCATTGCAATCTCCGCCTCCCTGGTTCAAGCTACTCTCCTGCCTCAGCCTCCTGAGTAGCTAGGATTACAGGTGCCTGCCACCACACCCAGCTAATTTTGGTATTTTTATGAAAGACAGGGTTTCACCATGTTGGTCAGGCTGGTCTCAAACTCCTGACCTCAAGTGATCCGCCCTCCTCAGCCTCCCAAAGTGCTGGGATTACAGGTGTGAGCCACCATGCCCAGCTGTGAGAACATTTCAAGAGAAGCACAGAGGTGTCTCGGGGGAGCCCAGTCAACTCTCAGGGCCTCAGTTTCTTCCCTATAGAATGGACCAGGCTGGGTCAGCCCTGAGGAGCCCAGGGAGCCTCCTGCCTCTGATGCCGGTGACATTGTGCTGTGGCTTGCCCAGGTGGGGAAGGAGAGCTGGGTGGACAGGATCGTGGAGCCCAGTCATCAGGAGGGAAAGAGGCCGGGACATGGAGCCTCTACAGTGAGGCCTCCCCAAATCCCCTAAGGCCCCTTGGGTGTCCTCCCTCCTCTGTCCTGTGCTGGGGGTCCTTCCTTCTCCTGCCTCTCCTGAGCCTCCGGTTTCTCTCTACAGGCCGCCCCCAGGGAAGAACTTCACTATGCCTCAGTGGTGTTTGACTCCCAGAGTCAGAATTCCAACGCCAACAGGATAGCTGCTCAGAGGCCCAGGGAGGAGGAACCAGATTCAAATTACAGTGTGATAAGGAAGACATAGGCCTGCCTCGCTGTCTGCCCCAGGAAGCCCAGGGACAGCTCCCTTGTTCCTGGCCCACGTCCTCCTCAGCCTGCCCTCAACGACAGTGACCAACAGACAGGCAGCTGGTTTCCCCAGGCCGTCCCTCTGGTGCCGTCAGCTCAGCTGGATTCCCCGAGGGCCGGCAGAGCTGGGGCTTCCAGGGAGCAGTAGGAAGCACCCCCAGCCACCAGCACCTGTCGCCTCTTTTCCCTTTGCCCCGGCTTCATCCTGGCTCTGTGTCTGGAGGACGAAGCTCCTTCCCGTGTGGCTCCAGGAAAAGATGTGGCTCCAACAGTCGGCACCTGCCAATAGCTTTGTCAATTACAGCCCCATAGGAACGTCTGGAATTGCTTGGGAGTTGGGCCGAACAGGCAAGAAGAGCCAAAGCGGCGATCTGTTCACATGGGGACCATGGTAGGGGGACCCTGGGGGGAGTCCACCAATGATCAAGTCCCTCCCCATCTCACAGACAAGGAAACCGAGGCCAGAGGGAGGAGAGGATTGCTCATGGCTCCAGAACCAGTGGCAAGTTTCTCGGGACTCTTAGGTTTATTTTTAATATGAGATATAAAAACGGTTTCAAATATCTTCTTAAGGGAGAAGTAAAAAGTTATTTAAACAATGGCTGCTATGTGTCTGCAATCCTCTGCTGAAGAAGCTCCCGGCTTTGATATCAGATGAGTGCAGAGAAGGCTTGAGGGTACGGGTTGGGGACATCCTAAGAGAAAGTCCTCCCTGAGTAGAAGAGGGGTCACAGCTGCTTCTCACCATGATGGCTGTTTGTTTGCTTGTTTGTTTTTTTGAGATACGGCCTCGCTGTGTCCCCCAGGCTGGAGTGCAGTGGTACGATCACAGCTCACTGCAACCTGGAACTCTCAGGCTCAAGTGATCCTCCTGCCTCAGCCTCCTGAGTAGCTGGACTACAGACACGTGCCGCCATGCCTGGCTTTTTTATTTTTTGTAAAGATGGGGTCTCGCTATGTTGCCCAGGCTGGTCTTGAACTCTTGACCTCAAGCGATCCTTTTGCCTTGGCCTCCCTGAGTGCTGGGATTACAGCATGAGCCACCATACCCCGCCATTTCCATATTGGAAAACGCAGCAGTTTTCTTGTCGGGAGATTTGATTTAAAGAGTTGTCCAGGCTCTCTTGAGTCTGTGGCAGCTGCCAACAGCTTTATGTGTTGTGCTTTTTTATTTTAATTTTTCTTTTTTAGAGGCAGGGCCTCACTATGGGGCTCAGCCTCGAACTCCTGGAGTTGTGCAACATGGACTCCTGGATCTGAAAGGTAAGGCTGCCACGGAGCCTATAATGGGGGCGGGGCTTAGACGTGTATCTGGTATGGAGGGGAACTCAGAAACAGTTGTTGACTTCACTTGAATTGAGCCCAGTCACGTTCCAGTCCTGACCTGCAGTAACCCTTCTCAGGGTCCCGTTTCCGGAGACAGAATTCTGCCTCTGGAATTCTGGTTTAAAACAGGCGCGTGGCACCAGACAGATTCTAAGACTTAGGAGGTTGTTCAAGAGACCCCTGCTCCTCAATAGGAGTGGACTTTAATTCTCTATAATTCTCTGAATTAATATTTTTTCTTTAATTCAGTCTGAATTTCTATCAATTAGAAGTAAGTCCTTGGCCTGGTGTGGTGGTTCACACCTGTAATCCCAGCACTTTCGGAAGTGGAGGTGGGTGGATCATGAGGTCAAGAGATCAAGCCCACCCTGGCCAACATGGTGAAACCCCATCTCTACTAAAAACAAAAAAAAATTAGCTGGGTGTGGTGGTGCACCCCTGTAATCTCAGCTACCCAGGAGTCTGAGGCAGGAGAATCACTTGAATCCGGAAGGTGGAGGTTGCAGTCAGCCAAGATTGCACCACTGCACTCCAGCCTGGCAAATTAGCAAGACTCTGTCTCAAAAAAAAAAAAAAAAAAAAAAAAGTAAGTCCTCTGCAAAATGCAAATGTCTAGGCTATCAATGCCAGCCACTGTAACAACCACAAACTCTACAATAAAACTGGGTGGAGTGGGGATGGCGAGGCTGGGGCAGGAGCATGTTACAGCCACAGCCACACACTGACCCCAGCCCCTTGCCCTGTCAATCTCTAAGGCTTGGTGAACAAATTAGTTCCCAGGTATAAACCACCTGACCCTTGGAAAGTGGCAGCCCCTTGGGAGTCCTTCCTATCACTTCCTACCAGTGAGTCTCAGTTGGGACCACCCCCGTTCTCCAAGGAGGTCTCACAGCAGAAGGGAGTGGGCTGCCTCTCCGTAGTCTTCCAGAAGCCTTACTACATCAACTCCCTTCTAGGAAGCTCTGCATTCCACCAGGGACACTGGGAAGGGTCATCTTTGTCAAACCAGAGACAGGGTCTTGCTCTGTTGCCCAGGCTAGGGTGCAATGGTGCAATTATGGCTCACTGTAGCCTTGAACTCCTGGGCTCCAGCAATTCCCCTGCCTCAGCTGAGTAGCTGGAACTCCAGGCGTGTGCCACCCTGCCCAGCTAATTTTTCAATTTTTTGTAGAGACAGGGTTTCATCATGTTGCCCAGACTGCTCTTGAACTCCTGAGCTCAAGCAACCTACTCACTTCAGCCTCCCAAAATGCTGAGATTATAGGGATGAGCTACCGTGCCCTACCCAAACTCAAAATTTACAGGAGAATATACAGTGAAAAGTCAGTCCCTTTATTATTTCTGTCCTGAGGTATCCAGAGTTCCTTACGTTTCTCACCTGAGATAGTTAATCATCTTGCACATATATGCACGTATATATGGCCTATATGAATATGCTCCTCCCCATTCCTGTATATACTTATCCTCCCCATTCCCACCATTCCTGCACAGTAGTATGTCGCAACCATCTTTGAGATTATTTTGCTTTCTATAAATGCTGCAGAACATCCCATAACGTTCCATTGTTTGTGCCATGACATACACACACCTTTCTGCACATTTTCATGGAGAGCTGAAGGGTAAAGTTGGAGAAATTCAAAGTCTGTGTACTTGTGATTTTGATAGCTATTGCCAAGTATATGGCAACTTTGAAATAGCAATCTCTGGCTGGGTGCGGTGGCTCACGCCCGTAATCCCAAGCGCTTTGGGAGACCAAGGTGGGTGGATCATTCGAGTTCAAGAGTTTGAGACCAGCCTGGCAGGAGAATTGCTTGAGCCCAGGAGGCGGCGGTTACAGTGAGCCGAGCTGCTGCACCACTGCAGTCCCACCTCAGTGACAGAGCAAGACTCCGTCTCAAAACAAAAACCTTAAACCTTGAAACAATTTCAAACTTAAGGAAAAATTGTGAACATGGTACAAAGAACTCCCATATGTCATTTTCCTAGATTTACCTTTTTTTTTTAATTTGCCACTTTTTTTGTGTGACTCTGTTGCTATCTATGCATTTTTCCCCAGAACCATCTGAGAACAGGTTGCTGACGCTGTTTCTGTTTGAAAGAGCTGCGTACACCAAGCTGCCACCTCCGTGTATTCTGAAAGTAGCTGGTGAAGCGCTCCCGAGGTTGTCCGTCTCTTACAGTCCCAGATGTGCCTTCAAAATACAGCACCTTGCTTGCCACAGAAAGCCAACATGATAGATGTGTGCAGGATTAAATGATGTTAGGTTAATCATCCATAGGTTCACAGTCGGGCTAAGGAAGTGAAAGACATTTTCTAATTAGCCCAAGTCCTTTGGAAAGATGACTCAGGGCCGAATTAGCCACAGTTTAGAAATTGACCTCACGATTTTGTTTCTTTGTTTTTAAAGTTTACTGTTGGGGCAAACCCCAGCCCTGGTTTGTAGATGACTCTGCCTGGGAACCAAAACATAGTTTTGATAGCCACGTATCTCCACCATGTGGCCATGTGGGGAATCACACATTTCTGGATCCCAAGCCTGTTGAATTTGTTGGTCTATCGATGCCAAAGGAATTCTGTACTTTCGGGGTCAGTGCAACTGAGAAGGGGGAGGGCTTGAAACAGAGGAACAGACAGAAAACTCCTGCATGGCTTTCCAGACCCTCTACCCACCCAGTCCTTGGATGTTTTGTGCCAAAAGAAAACTCAGCTCCTTGGCCTGGCATGGTGGCTCATGCCTGTAGTCCCAGCACTTTGGGAGGCCAACGCAGGCGATCACCTGAGGTCAGGAGTTTAAGACCAGCCTGGACAATGTGGCGACACCCCGTCTTTACTAAAAATACAAAAATTAGCCCGGTGTGGTAGTGGGCGCCTGTAATTCCAGGTACTTTGGCGGCTGAGGCAGGAGAATCGCTTGAATCTGGGAGGTGGAGGTTGCAGTGAGCTCAGATCATGCCATTGTACTCCAGCCTTGGCGACAGAGCAAGACTCCATCTCAAAAAAAAAAAAAAAGAAAACTCAACTCCTCTCTAATCTTGAGTTTCTTTATTTCATGCCCAATTGCCCCTTCTCAGTTCCTAGATTTTCCTTCCCCAACTGCAGTGTGTCAAAAGCAAGAGCAGCCACCCCACCTGTGATTGGTGTAATGGGTTTGGGGTCAGATAGGCTTAAATCCCACCTCTGCCCTTGTGACTTACATGATCTGGGGCTGCCATTCAAGGCCATCTGGGTCTCAGTTTCCTCATTTGTTCCAGCAATGGTCCAGTGCCCCTCAGTGCGTTCGCCCTCACCAGGATCTGAAGCAAGCTCTTTTTTTTTTTTTTTTTTTTTCCTTTTTTTGAGAGGGAGTCTCACTCTGTCACCCAGGCTGGAGTGCAGTGGCACAGTCTAGGCTCACTACAACCTCCACCTCTCGGGTTCAAGTGATTCTCCTTCCTCAGCCTTCCAAGTAGCTGGGATTACAGGCACTTGCCACCACCCCAGGCTAATTTTTGTATTTTAGTAGAGATGGGGTTTTGCTGTGTTGGCCAGGCTGGTCCCAAACCCCTGATCTCAGGTGATCCACCCACCTTGGCATCCCAAAGTGCTGGGATCACAGACGTAAGCCACTGCGCCTGGCTACTCTTATTTATTTATACATACAGTGTTGCACTATGTGGTCCCAGTTGGGCTTAACCTCCTAGGCTCAAGCAATCATCCCGTCTCAGCCTCCTGAGTGGCTGGGACCCCACTCAGTGTGAACCACCACACCCAGCTGATGGAAGTTCTTAACTAAAGGCCCTGCCACTATCTCCTGGGGTCCCCCATGCTGTTTCCTCACCTCTGCGCCTCTTTTTCTTTTCTTTTTTTTTCCTGAGATGGAGTCTCACTCTGATGCCCAGGCTAGAGTGGAGTGCAGTGGTGCGATCTCAGCTCACCACAACCTCCACCTCCCAGGTTCAAGTGATTCTTCTGCCTCAGCCTCCCGAGTAGCTGCGACTACAGGCGCACGCTACCACATCCAGCTAATTTTTGTGTTTTTAGTAGAGACGGGGTTTCACCATGTTAGCCAGGATGGTCTCGATCTCTTGACCTCATGATCCGCCTGCCCTGGCTTCCCAAAGTGCTGGGATTACAGGCATGAGCCACCACGCCTGTCCGATCTTCTTAATAAATTATTAAAGTATAACTAGCCACTCTTTTCCTAGTAGAATCCAATAGCAGATGTGGCTGATCAAAGATGATGAGGTGACTGAGTGATCTCAGCTGCCTATGCAAGCTGTGGTGGGAAGTGTTCA